TATATGTCTCTCTTTGGTTTTTTAATGTTGTAGTCCCAAGTTGCAAAACATATTTATAAAGTAATTATTTTATGAATTAATAATTCAGCCAATGGAAAAGCCAGAAAATAAAAATTAGGAAACCCTTTTGACTGATTTGACAAAATAATTTCAATGGTAAAGAAAATGTCGTCAAGAAAATTTCATTAGGAGTCTCCAACTTTTCGTAAATGTGGCACAAGACACAATTAATATACGGTTTGTTACAAACTGTTCCCAACTAACAGAAAACATTTGTTTAGATTTTGAATGGCTATTTGATACTCAAGTGATATGGAACAAAAAATGTGAAACTGTCCAACAATATTTTTTTTTTATCTCAAAACAATTTTAAGAATGATTTCAACTTTTATTTAAAAATCTAAATAGAGTAAAATTCCTCACTTTACATTAAAATGCATCCCTTGTTGCGCAATTTTACCCTTTTTTTCTGAAATTGTACTTAGATGGTTGGTTTTGCATGTAAAATTTGAAGTATTAAAGCTATTTATTGTCACAATAATTAGATGTCATTTTAAGTTCAGGTACTATTTGTACAAATAAGAACCTAATTATTAATTGATTTCATCTTCGTACAAAATCTACAGTTCACAATTAATAAAAACGTGCGTAAATAACAAGATTTGAAGAGTTTGACAACGAGATTGACACAATCTTTAATTATGTTTCAATGTTGTAAATTTCCGACACAATTTTTTGTAAGAAAAACACGAGCAAAAATATTTAACTTAAAAAATTGGGAGATTCAATAAATTAGGGGCTTAGACAAGTGTCTAACATGTCAATACTTGAGCTACCTGTCTATTCCTTAACATCACATGTGTTGATATCTAAATTGATGTTAAACATAATTGATGCTAAACAACATTATTGAAAATAAATTTTTATTACATTTTTATGATTACTTTCACGTCATTTAGACGAAAATTGAACTATTAAATACCATACAATACAATTAAATTTACTACAATATTTTTCCTCAAAAGTTATGTAATATACTTCAATATAATTTTTGAATAGGTCTGATATTGTTTATAAATTATTACTTGTAAAAATACGTACAAATATAGAATTTTAGGGATAGTTGGTTTTGTGTTTCAATTTTCAATTTTTAGTTTTGAGTTCATTATTAGTTTGAGAGTTTATTTTGAAATTGTTAAAAATGTATCTGATTTGTTATTTTGAAAAATTATTTGTCAAAACAAAAAATTAGAAAACATATTTAGTTTGAAATTTTGAAAAATTGTTTAATAACATTTTATTCCATGAAATTTGATTATTCTGTAAAAATATAATAATGTTATCTATATTCATTTACGTACTTTTATATGTGTTCATATAAATGTATATTTTTTAAATAAAAATTGGACTATTTTTATTTTTATTTTTAGAAATTTTTATAATTCTATTCTTTCAAAATTTTTATTTTTTAGATTTTATTTTTTCAAAATTTTTATTTTTTAAATTAAAATTTTGTTATTTAAAATTTTGCATCTTTATTTTTAAAAGTTTTTAATTTTTAATTTTTATTTAAATAAAATTATATTTAAACGCTTGTTTTCCACATTTTGAGTATTTTCAGAATTTTCAATGAAAATACTCAAAATGTCAAAAATGTGTTTTAAGTTTTCTATTATAAATTTGACCCCATTTTCGAAAATGTATTTTCAGAAATAAGAAATCAAGCACGTTTTCACCTAAAAACAGCAAACTATTTAGAAATAATTTTATGACATTTTAGAATAGCGTGGGCAAAGAGAGATAAAGAGAGGAAGATGGGTATTTGTATTTGGGTAAGTTTTGTGTGATTTTATTAATTATTTTAATTTAGAAAATCTTTTGGTTCATTTTCCATATTTTGAGTGTTTTCAATAATGTCAAAAAGTCATTTTATTTATAAAATTTTCCTTGTTTTCAAAATCTCATTTTTGAAAATAATATACCAAATACGTTTTGAGTGATTTTGAAAATTGAAAACTGAAAATGACCTCAAAATGACAAACCAAACGAGCTCTAAACATCTTTGAAGCATCTCCAAAAAAAACTCTTTAAATATAATATGCTCTTTATTTTAAATAATTAACATTTAAAATCACACTCTAAGAGATTCTTTAAATTTACATTTGAATTTAGAACTGAGTTTGGCTCTTTAAATTTAGAGAATCAAACTCACTCTCTATAATTAAATATATTCAATAGTGTTTCAATTTTTAATGTAGGAAAATAATAAAATAATTTAAAGAAAAATTAGTTAAAATAAAAGATAAAGAAAAATAATAAATATTTTTTTGGAGTAGTAGAACTAAATGTTAAACAAAAAGAGTTTGTTGGAATGTTTCAAAATTTTAACTCTCTAAATTTATAGACGTTCTCCAAATGATAGAATTTGCTCTTTAAAAATAGAGGGTCTTTTGAAAAATACTCTTACCTTTTCAAGTGGGGAGTTTTGCTCTAAAAAATAAGACATGTTTTGGATTTATTAGTCAAAGCACATTTGAAATATTTAGGGAAATTGAATTCTGATATAAGTGTGGTGGAAGTAGTCAATGGTGAGTTTTGCTCTAAAAAATAAGACATGTTTTGGATTTATTAGTCAAAGCACATTTGAAATATTTAGGGAAATTGAATTCTGAAATAAGTGTGGTGGAAGTAGTCAATGGTGAGTCAAACTGCATTTGAAATGATACTTGTTTAGTTGTTTGTAAGAGGTGATAAAGAGTCGAAACAAGTTACCTTTGGTATCTGTCATCAGACTCAACTCGTGTTTTAGACGAGTTCGAGCTTGGCCCTACTCATATATATACAAATGCAATACACGTTCACGACTTATAGTACAACTTGATTATTTAACAATAGTGTTCTAATATACATGAATAACATAGGATCTCCTCTTATAGATAAACTCAAAAAAATATTGGGAGGCTCATTACTTCAACTAGTCCCCATGTTCCATGAATGGATCTCATCTTTGTCTCAGTAAAGCCTTTCAATGGCATGTTTCGGATCTTAAAGTGTCTAGGGTTGGGCTAGGAGGATCTCTTCTCGAGCCTTTAGTGAGTTATAGACAGAGTTCATATATATATACACGCCACAATTTTGTACAAATGTACCATATTTACAAAATGCAAAAATACTATAAATTCGGTTGTTTTATAAATTTTCCTAAAATAAAACCAGATAGAATTTATTAAAAAATTAAATATATTCTCACCACTTTTTTGCCTTTTTTTTCCTTTTTTAATAAGGAGTAGGACACATATTTTAATTAATAACCTTTATCATTGTCATGCTTACATCCCCAAAATTTTTTATAGCATTATTTACTCAACCTTCTATTAATTTATACATCACTGCTCTAACTTACAATTCTGTCCAAAAATTTTGTTAGCATACTCCAAATTGAGGGACATGTATTTAGGAGTAACTTTGTATTTGTTATTTTTTTACGCTTATTTAAGAATATCAGTGGCAAACGAGTCCCCTTACACCCAATTAATGAAACTTTTAGATTAAAACTATTAGAATCAGACGTGATACTTAGTGAAAACGTAAAAAAATACATAAATTCGAGACAAACACGATTCGAAGAGCTCAAAAACAATGAGTACCATACTTGAGATATTTTTGTGTTTAGATTTTTATAAAACGTCATTTCATAGCTAGAAAAATATTATGAAGATCCAAGGGGAAAGCCAAACTATTGACTTCACGTGGGATGTTTGGCGTTAAGTTCCTTGGCCGGCGCATATTAATATTTATGCCTATAAACAAATTTTATGGGATTCTCCTCCAAATGAATGATCAGACGTTAGACTCAAAGAAAAATACTATATATAGATTTAGTCCCTGTTTATTTCTATTCTTTTTTCATTAAAATAAAAAATATAATCTTTATCGATCACATCAATCCATCAAATTTGAATTTCTATCTCTTATCTGGGACCCGTAATAATTATATTTTTTATTCTCATTCTTACAAAAATGAAAAACAAACGGGGCCTTAATTAGGCCTATTAATGAAACAAATTTCTCTTCTAATTAACACCCAAACAAATTTTTAAACAACACAATTATTATTGTATAAATCTCTTTTATGGTAAGTTCATGTCTAAGCCTCATTCTTTAAAAACTCCTTTTTTTTAAAGGAGAAAATTAATTTTCAATTTAGAACTTAAAATTTTTTCAATTTTTTAATCATATATTCACCAAAAAATTACTGTTACTAAGCTCATTTTCATTAAAATGGGGCTCAAATATTACCTAAATCTTGATTGTAAGGAACTCGTATATATGATCCAAAAACAATTTTCTAAGTTAAACACGAAGAAATAAGAAATGAAGAGAAAAATAAAGAGAAAATTTTAACTTTGTTCAAATACCACAACTCGTGCTCGACAATGGTTACGAACGACAAGAAAAATCTTGAAACCAAAAAATATTTAATCAGCACATTTTCTCCAATATAGAAGAGAAGTTTCTTTTTGGGTTAATATATTGTTATTTTTATAGATAAAATGTTTAAAACTTTTACTTTTAAATTATTTTTTTAGATTTTAAGCAAAAAAATCAAGAAATTTTAGAAAATCTTGTAGAATCACAAAAAATTTACTGGAAAATTATAGAACACTAGTCTTTTCAATAACCAAATTCTCAACTTTGATTGAAAACGATGAGAAATTTTTTTAATGCAATAAAAGTTGTATCAATTCATTTGAAATTAACAAAAATTAGGCAATCATCTTTCATAAAACTCAGAAAATCTTGTTTTCACAAAATCTTCCTAAGACTCAAATCATATCAAAAACTTATCAAAACATTTTAAATATCCAATATTTTTTACTTATTTTGCGTTACACATCATTTTCCACACAAAACAGTAAAATTGGGGTCCCTAATCCATTAGAGTTGGCGAATATGCTTTTACAGTCCAGACAACCCCACCACTTTGTACTGTGAATTCTCTCTGTCTTCTCATCTTTAGCCTTTCACGGGGGCGACAAAATCTTCTAACTTCGAGGGAATTTTTTATTTCTTGCTTGGATTTATTATTTTCATTTTGGGTGGCCAAAGAAAACATAAAAAATCTGCATACATGTGGTCTTTTTTCTTTTGTTGTCATCTGCAAAAAAAATATCCTAAAATTATCTTGTTTGTTAATATTTCACCTGCTCTTCCACAATTATTTTATGGTTCTGTTTTTTCTCCCCCAAATGTCCCATTTCTTGAACTTTCTGTGCGTTTTCTGGATGAGTGTTGGGGGCTGTTTTAATTAGTGTTTAGAAGGTTTGTTTGGTTCAAACTCTTAAGACCCTTCTTTGAATCCAATATTCCTAACTTTTTGTGCATTTTATTACTCATTATTACTTCACTTTTGTGATAGTGGCTTTTCATACCGAATTGAATTTACACTTCTGCACTTGGTTTGGGCACTGACTTTGCTTTGATCCTCTTGAATGGTTCTTGGAGTTAAAATTTCTTAATTTTTGATAGAATTATATATTATTGCTGAAAGTTCTTAAATTCTGCTACAATTGTGTTGAGTTATCGGAGTTATTTTGCCAATGCCTCCTACATACTTCCCTTTGAGATGGGAGAGTATTGGAGATCAATGGTGGTTTGCATCTCCCATTGATTGGGCAGCTGCCAATGGACATTATGATTTAGTCAGGGAACTTCTTCACCTTGACACAAATCTGCTCATTAAACTCAGTTCTTTACGCAGAATTCGTCGTCTTGAATCCGTGTGGGACAATGAAGAACAGTTTAATGATGTTGCTAAATGCCGGTCTCAAGTCGCGCAAAAGCTCTTACAAGAATGTGAAACCAAGAAAGGACATAATTCTCTAATCAGGGCTGGCTATGGGGGTTGGCTTTTATACACTGCTGCATCAGCAGGGGATGTGATATTCGTTAAAGAATTGTTGGATAAAGACCCCCTCTTGGTATTTGGAGAAGGGGAATATGGTGTTACCGATATATTTTACGCGGCTGCTAGAAGCAAGAATTCCGAGGTTTTTAGACTGGTGTTCGATCATGCCATATTGAGAACTTATTCCCGTACCACTAAAGGGGAAAACGAGGAAGTTTCTTCGGCTTTCAAGAGTGAAATGGTTAATAGAGCTGTCCATGCTGCAGCTAGAGGAGGAAATATGGAGATCTTGAGAGAATTTTGTAAGGATGAATCTGATGTTTTGGCGTACAGAGATGCCCAGGGATCCATAGTATTACATACAGCTTCTGGCATTGGGCAGGTTGAGGTAAATATTAGTTTCTTTTTCTTCTTTTGCTACTTAAGTTTCTCGATTGACAGTCAGATCAGGTGAACCTGCATTTTCAGTTAGAAGCTCTTAAATTCTACGCAATAGACCATATAGGACTTAAATATGTTAATATTAGATTTGACTTTCCTCTAGCACTATTACTAGCTTCATGTGGCCAGCTCATTTGAGAACTGTATGTCTTGTGATTAAATGGTGTCTTCCTCTATTTTGAAGTTAAAATTTAAGGTTGTGTTAATTTTTGTTCATTTTAACTCCTTATTTATCTGTCAGTAAGAATTAGAATTTCAGCCAAGTGAGTTGATTCACATCTGATAAGAAAATAAAGAATTTAAGAGAAAGAAGAAAAGGAATGATGTTAAAATGAGAAATTTTCCTTTTCATCATAATTGGCAATATGACTGAGTTGTACTTGATGTTTAATTGCAGTGACGAGCTGTGAGATTTCTGAGTCGTTTACTGTTGTTTACCAGTTGTTTGTTATAAAATATCATGTAACCGAAAAATTTAATATCGCAATTCATTATAAGGGTTTAGACTCTAGTAGATCTGCATGTTGTGTATATGGCGCATGTTTGGTTAAGCTTAAGAAAAGGTGAAAGTACCTCTTTGGAAAGTAAGTGAAGCACCCCCCCGGGGGGGGGGGCCCTCCCCACCCCTCTGAAAACAGTAACTTCTAAATGTAAAAATGTTTAGTTTAACCTTAGCCAGACATGCTCCAGTCTTCTTGATTTTTTAGTTTTTACCAAGTTAATCGAAGGATAGTATGTCAATGTACTTTAACATACAATTTTCTGAGTGCATCATTAAAATGACTATTTTTATTTCAATATTCTAGTATCCACATTAAAATTTCGCATCTAATGTTGCATTTATTTCTTTTTGGACCATGTAGGTAGTTAAAAATTTATTATCGTCCTTTGACATCATCAACACCACGGACAATCAAGGTAACACAGCATTAATTGTGGCTGCTTACCGTGGTCATGTAGATGTAGTAAAGATCCTTATATGTACGTCTCCTTCATGCGCATCCCTAACAAACAACTATGGAGATACTTTTCTGCACATGGCAGTGGCTGGCTTCCGAACCCCTGGATTCCGAAGATTGGACCAACAGATAGAGCTCATGAAGCAATTGGTTGGTGGGAAAATTGTAAATATAGAAGACATTGTCAATGTTAAGAATAATGATGGTAGAACTGCCCTTCACACGGCTGTAATTGAGAACATTCAATCTGACATTGTGGAACTTCTTATGTCGGTGCATTATGTAAACTTAAATATTCGTGATGCGGATGGAAATACTCCTCTCGATCTCCTCAAGAAAAGACCGAAATCGGCTTCTTCAGAGATTTTAATCAAGCGGCTGATATCAGCTGGAGGAATCTCGAATTGTCAAGATCAAATGACTAGAAGTGTTCTTGCTTCCCATCTGAGGATGCAGGGGATTGGAGGCAGTCCAGGGACATCTTTCAGAATCCCGGATACCGAGATATATTTGTATTCTGGAATTGGGAACGCATCTGATGTTAGTTGTGAATTGACAAGCGAGTACGCTTCGTGCTCGGGTGAACTGAATCGCTTTGATTCGCCTGCTATGTCAAGCTCAACTAATAAGAAGAAATTTGATTCTGTTAATAATGCTGCTGGGCGTCTCAAGATTCTTCTTCGTTGGTCAGGGAAGAAAGAGAGAAAAGAAGAAATCACCGAGATGGAAGACAATAATTCTGTAGAATCATTCAGAACCTGTTCAAGTTTCAAAAACAGCCCAATTCCACTTAGGCAGAAGTTTTCAAGAAAATCCTCTCCGCCAAACAACAAGAGAGTACTTGCAACCAGAAGTAGCCTTCCGAGTCCATCCACTAAAGAGAGATTTGCTGCAGAGTTATCACACGGCGTTGTGAAAATGATGCCACACTCGTACTTTGGATCACCTTCAACTCCTTTCTCCGAATCATCTTGGTCGTCTGCTGTATCTGCTCATAAAGAGAAGGGCGTGGATCTCGACAGTGCTGGTGCGGGACCCTCTAGCCTGAATCAATCCCCAAAAATTCGGGAGTCGAAAACGAAGCACAGACACTCCTCCTTCAACACGAGGCTGATGAATCACTACTTCTGTTTTGGTTCTCAAGGCCTTGCTGTGGATAATCAGAATCATAAAAGGCTTGCTGTGTAATGAATTAACTCTCTTTAAATTTTGGACATATCCCTCAATCTGTAAATAATTTCCTACTTTTGTTGTTTATTTGTCCAATTTCTTCGTCTACTTCACATGAGACATTGATTGATTAAGAAAAGCATGTGTGTTTAAACATAAGAGGTAAAGTGATTGGCACGTAATACATGTGCTAATTCCTGATTATGCTTTGATTCAAGGATACCTGTCGTCCAGATTATTTGTAAGATACCTTTGGTCGCGTCACAGGATAAGCAAAGGCCATCATAGCTGCATCAAGTGTTGACTTGTCAAGTTTATGTTGATCGTTTTGAGATTATTGTTAGTTGTTTCGTAACGTGGTATTCAAGTTAGTGGTGTCAAAACATATCAGGTCGTTCAAATTTTAGCGGGCCTAAAACTGGTCTCGGAGTTGAGTAGGGTTGCCGGTGATGGGCCTAACAGTGGGCCAAGCTTGCTTTACTGAGTATTGATGGGCTTTGTAGAGGCCCACGACCAGCATGGACCAAGCATGTTACTATTTCTTATTTGCATCCAATAATAGACGTTTTAGCACACGTGTTATCTTAAGAACTAAATATAAGTTACAACTTACAATTAAATTACATTATTAGAGGTGTCAAATATTAGGAGCCCATTTGATACCTCTTTTTTTGGAAAATTGCATTTCGAAATAATGTTTCGATATAGAATGTGTAGCTGAAAATGAAGAAAAATTTTGAATTTGCGTATAATATTATTTTATTGAAGAATGTGTAGTTGAAAAGAAGAGAAAATGTACTTCCAAAAAAAAATAGGAATCAAACAAGACCTAAAGTTTAAATATAACAATTATTTTGTTCAAATTGAACATATATAATTTTGTTATAAAAATAAATCGGACTCATCAGATAATATTGTTGCCAAGTTTTATATAATTCAAAGGAATAGCACCGGTTCGAATTTTTACAATTTTACTTGCATTAAAACTAGATGAAATCTAACAAATAAATTTTTGTTAAAAAATTACCAACTTTAAGCAAGTGCTGCAATGGTTAAGTTTGTAATTCCTCTCACATAAGGTCATGAGTTCGAGATCCCTTAGGTCCCCTTCCTGTTGCTTTTTGGTAAAAGGTGTAGAATAAAAATATTTCAGAATAAATGTTCAGGTACGGAAACTCGAACTTGCAACTTCCAATTTATGCATGCGGGCTCTAACCACATGAGGTAAAAGGCATGTTTGAGTATAAAATGACTTACCAGTTATATAACCTAAAAATTTAACATATCTTCAACAGAAAAAGTGCTCCCGACGGATCCAGCACGGGCGATCGCTGGGGCTCGCCAAGTGTTGGATCCACCACTGATGGGACACCGACTTGCCCATCGGACTCGAATGAGGCGATAAGGTTTGATTTTTTCATTTTACTATAACGGATTTTAGTGGTTGTTTTTAAAAAAAAAAAAAAAAAAAAAAAAAAAAAAAAAAAATAATAATAATAATAATAATATTCTACATGGGGCACGAGGGCACACCTAACTTGGCTGTCCTTGCATGGGGGCGGGAAGGAATAAGGATTAAAAATATTTTCAAGTTTCGTCTCATTTACTTATTTATTTATTAATATTATTTTTATTTTTATTTTTGCAAATGTTATTGAATTTAAAAAAATAAAAAGGAAGATTCGGGACGAAGATTATGTTCCCATCCTCGTCCGAATTTTTGGATGGGGGCAGTGCACATTCAAAATATTATGTCATCCCTATTTCTAAGTTTTCTTAAAAAGCTCCACTGTTGATGGAACAGTAAAATATAGAAGAAAATGACTTCATTTTTGTCTATATATTTTTCCTATTTTTCACTGTTGAAGTTCTTTTTTTCCATCTTTCTTTCTCTTCTTTAGCTCACATCCATCCCGATTTTTGCTTCTTATTTTTGGCGACCATACTAGTCAACCATACTCCTTATTTTCAGGTACAACAATTTCTATTGATTGATTTACTCAAGGCAGATGAAGAGGTGTGTGAATTTAAATATCTCTTTTTACTTCCCTTTCTTCTAGAAAAAAAAATTGCTGGCTGTAATGATTAGTAGTGTTTTCTTCGTAAATTTTTTATGGAATTGATTTAGGTTTTGTTCCAAGTTGTATAAAAAATGCATATTTTCCTTTCGACCATTGATTGATTTACTCAAGGCAGTTGAAGAGGTGTACGAATTTAAATATCTCTTTCTACTCCCCTTTCTTCTCGAAAAAAATTTGCTAGTTTTAATGGTTAGTAGTGTTTTCTTCGTATTTTTTTATCGAATTGATTTAGATTTTGTTCCAAGTTGTATAAAAAATGCATATTTTCCTTTCCACCAGAGTGAGTTTGTTGCAAAGTTGAATGAATTATGTTTCTTTGTTTGTTTTCGCCTTTGGTATGTAAATATAGATTTTTGTTGTGAATGTTGGTTCTATTTGACTGTGTGGTTCTACGTCTGCAAGATTTTTTTAGAGGGGTATTATCATTCCATTTTAATCGTTGTCGGAAGGTTTAGGATTTTATTTTGTTTTAGGAGGCAAGACAAGAACTATGGCAAAAAATGCTCTATTGGATCACTTGGGTTGGAAAAAGGCCCATGTCTTCAGTCATTCAAGTTGGTGAGTTCTGATTTTGAATTTTTAATGATGTTTGATTTTTTGATTTTTATTTCTGTTGTTGAAAGGTAAATAGCGTACATTTCTTGTTTGTGATTATATGTCAAAATTTCCTGATTTTTAGTGATGAAATATTCTCAAAACATAAATTAAGCATGCACGTGATTTCAGTTGTAAAACCACAAATTTAAAACCAACCTACCGGTAAACAATTTGACTTCAACTTGTTTTAGCTCATTGATGTTGTCTCAGTGGTTAGTCAAATAAGTAACATAGTTAAATACCCTGGTGAAAAATATGCTAAAACAATTATCAGTTGTGTGTGGACGTGTTTCTTATTTAGGCTGTATAATTAATTATTTTCCTATAAAGTATTGTCTGATCTTAGTTTGGTAAATTAACGTTAATTTGGTAAATTCATTTTTGTTGGAGTACCGAGAATGTATTACTTTAGTATGATCTTTGATGTCAATTTCGTGAATTCATTTTTGTTGGAATACCGAACATTTAGTTTTGTTAATTTTATTGTGGATACTTTAAAAAATAAAAAATAAAAATTGCTCCCACGAGTGCGGAGTTTCTCTCACAAAGTGCGGAGTTACTCTGCACACTCCACACAAAAGTGTGCAGAGTTATGGACGACTCTGCACTTTTGTGCAGAGCAACTCGACTGTCCACACAGATTGTGCGAAATGTCTGCACTATCTGTGCAGACAGTTTGTGTGAAGTGTCCGCACAATCTGCGCAAATGAATATGCGGACAATTGAGTTGCTTTGCACAAATGTACGGAGTTGTCCGTAGTTTACCGTATTTGCAGTCTATCGTCTACGCAGCTTACCGTATTTGCAACTTATCCTATATGTTGCCTACCATAATTGCAGCTTACACTATTTGCAATCTACTATATTTGCAGGCAACTTACTGTATTTTGCAACTTACCATATATGTTGCCTATCGTATTTGCAGGCAACTTACTCTATTTGCATCTTACCTTACCGTATATGATGTCTACCATATTTTTAGCTTACCGTATTTTCATATACCAATTTTTGCACTTACAAATATCAAGAATGCAAAACACTGTGTATTCACTTACCAAATCGAATGTCAAAAAAAATTTCAAATTTTAATTTTTTCAACATATGCAACAATTTGTCTGATTGAGTACTCCTTTTTTGAGTTTCGTCAAATATATTTACCAATATAGAATTTTTACTTTCTTTTTTTGCAACCACGAATTCTTTGGAAACAATAATTTTTCATTACTTAGGTACTACTATATAGTATATACTATGCAGAAAGTTATTTAAACAAAAAAAATATACGGAAGACGAGAAGAAATCACCCGAAACTCAAGAGTCGACTGCATAATTTATTAGATTTGAACAAGAGAGTCAGAGAGGGAATTCATCCTACATTTAGTAACTAATCCATGAACCAATCTTCATGTCTCCAAATCACCACAGTTCCCACAAGCCTATAAAATCTTGGGAAACAAAAAATCACTCGGAACAATATTATCACTCTCCATCATCGAATAAACAAGCTCCATTAATTCACCCACTTCCTCTTCCTCAAGCATGCCCCAATTGTCGCAGGCCATACATACAAATTCCTCTCACTCTTTGCATCAAACACTTCAAATGCATTTTCAAGTGACCCACATTTGGCATGCATACTAACTAACTTTGTTTCAACAAAAGGGTATGATTCCTCACGCAATTTTCTGACAAAGCCATGCAGCTTATAGCATAAGTCAAGTGAATTGGAGTCAATGCAAGAGTCGATCAGGTGTGAAAGAGTATTGGGCCTTACCGTGGATCTGCATTTAACTATGGAGTAAGAGGCCATGGCTTCACCGAGGCACCCATTTTTGCAGAGATTCTTCAAGTGGGCATCTAATTTTGAGTCTAGTTTTGGAGGGGGCATTTTTGAGGAGGAAATAGTGGAATCTTTCAAAATGGTTTACTGGGAAGCTCTGTAACATTCGGGCATGCCTCACTCGATCCCGAGCCTTTAGCGCCTCCAATTCCACTATCTGGTTTACTGGGAACGCCCTCTGTAAATTCATCACTCTTTGAACTCCTCCGATGCCACTCCCTGCCGATGAAAGAAAATCATTACATCATTTCTTATATTTAGTTAAGAAAAATAACCAAAAATGGATTATCTTCAACGGGTTTTGGAAAATCTACAATTTTTATACTAATAAAAGCACGATAAATACAAAATTCATACAACACACGTGCGAACGACTAGTCTAACAAAATGGGGCAATTGTAATCCTCACTTTTTAAGGTTGAGTGGGTCCATTTTGACGCCATTAGATATGACCATTATCTAGATGGGCAGCTTACAAAAATACAACTAAAATTAGAGATCTTCCTCATATGAAGAGTATTTTTTGAAGTAAAAAATATTGTGTACAATTATTATAATAAAAAATGGCACTTTTTAGAAAGTGTAACTTTTTAAA